AAAGCATAACTGCTGATAGGATGAGGGGGCAAAGGATCAAAGAGTAACTGAGAGCTTCTATTGAGCTGGTCAACCATAGGATCAAGAGGATGAAGGCAGGGAAATGAGGCCAGAATGGGGGTGGACTGGGAGAACTGGGGGTGGTGGGTGGAGGGACTAAGAAGAGGGGTGGGAGAAGTTAGGGAGAAAGAGAGGTAGCAGTGATCAGAGAGAAGGCTTTTGGCATTCTCCATCATGGAGGGGGAACAAATCTGGGAGACTGTCAGATCATGGGGATGGCCATCCCTGTGTACAGCTGAGCTCCAGTTTCCTATCTCCATCTGCCTACAGGACATCTTCACCTAAAGGTCCTGCTGGAACCTCAGAATCAGCAAGTCCAAGGACAAACTTATTTAATCTTTCCTCTGCCCATTCTCTTGATTTTCCTCTCTTTTGTGATGGGCACCAGCACTCCCCTTCTCTCCCTTGTTCAAAACTTTGTTGCTATTTTTGACTTCTCCTTCTCTCCTGTTGCTCATGGTCAACAAAGTGTTGAAGTATCTTCCCTCAATGATGATGACGACTGACATTCCTATAGCTCTTTAAGGTCTGCAAGGTACTTTACCATCCATTATCTCATTTAGGCCTCAAAACCACTTGGCTTGTTTGGTTAGGTACTTCAGGCCCTATTTATTACTCTCATTTTGCAGATGGGGAAAGTGAGGCTCAGAGTGACTCTTGGCACCAGTGAGAGCCTAGCTCTCTTTCCACTTTACCATACTGTCTCTTATATTTATGCCCCCTGCCTTTGCCCTAGCTAGTACAGGCTATCATTCCTGCCAATGCCCCCTGTTCTGAAAAAGCCTCCTCCCAGGTCTTGAGGCTGAACTCTGCTCTGTCCCTGGTCCTGATTTGGGTCTCTCGCCATCTCAGTTATATCTACCACATCTAATTCAAACTCCTTTGCCTGACACTCAAGGCTTTCCAACAACCTGGTGTCAACAGACCTTTTTGGTCTTACAATTCCTGCCCTCCACAAAAGCTACACTCTGCTCCATGCACGTTCTGGGTCTACGAGGTTACAATCTGCTTGCCAAATATGCCACTTGATTTCCAATCTCTGTTCTACTTACTCCTTTTGCCTGTATTGTCTTCTCCCGGCCCCATCCCACCCCAAACCCTCCTCTTGAGATAACTATGTGTAGAAAAATTGGAAAGCTTTAAGGTGCAACATATGTGTCAGTAATTATATAGTAGGAGTAATTGTTGTTATTATGATTATTATTTTGGTCCAGACTGATTATCTCATGCCTGTAGGGAATGCTCAGTGTGGAAATACCCTCTAGTGATAAGGATCAGTGCCAGGCCTATACTTTAGCCTTAGAGAATGGCCTGGGGCCTCAGAGAAGTCAAGAAACTTGCCCAGTATTACACAGTTAATATTTGCTAGATGTAGGTCTTTCTGACTCCAGCTTTGGCCCCCTATTCACTGCACCTGGCTGCCTCCTATACATTGTCATTACTAATAATAATGTTAATAATAGCTAGTATTTATAGAAGGCTTGCAAAGTGCTTTATAAATGTTACTATCTCGTGTGAGCCTCACAACAACTCTGGGAGGTAGGTGCTATTATTATTCCTCTTCTCGCAGAGGAGCAAACGGAGACAGACAGAGGTGAAGTGGTTTGCACAGGGTTTCACAGCTAGCAAGTGTCTAAGGCTGGATTATAATGATGATGATGATGAATCCCTATCCATCCTTTATTTATTTATTTATTTTTTTGGCTAGGCAATGGGGTTAAGTGACTTGCCCAGGGTCATACTGCTAGTAAGTGTTACGTGTCTGAGGTCAGATTTGAACTCAGGTCCTCTAGAATCCAGGGCCGGTGCTCTATCCACTGCACCACTTAGCTGCCCCACTATCCGTCCTTTAAAGCCCAAGTCAAATGCCACCTTTTTCAGAAAGCCTTCCCTGGATGGACATGGCATTCACACAGCATCTTTTTTTAAGTTCCCTAACACACTTGTTTCTGCAGTGTAACCTTCCACTGGAGCGCTGGGACCTTGTTGAATCTTGTCTAGATTTTGTATCTCTGATCCCTTTGTAAGCTCATCCAATTCAGGGCTCTTCACCTCCCTGGGTTCCAACTACAAGGTCTCTAAAATCTCTCCTAGTTCTGACATTCTGTGATTTATATTGTAGCTAATAAACATGCAAGAAGTGAATTTAGTTTTGTTTTTGGTAAAAATTGTTTCCTCTTCCTCCTCTTCCCTTAGAAATGACTTGTTACCACCTTTGATTTCTTTTTCAACCTGGGGGTATCTCAACTATTAACCTTTGATGGGTGGGTGGGGGTAACAGGTATAGGGTGAACAGGGGGAGACCCCTCATCACCCCCCTTCCCCTCTTCTCAACTGGTTAGGCAGCCTAGTGGTTGTGAGGGATGCCCAAGCACAGGGTGTTCCTGAGTCCCCGGAATGGGGGAGTTTTCTTTCCCAATTGGACTCTCTCTGGGGCTGTCCCTTTCTCCTTTTCTCTCTCCTTCTTGTTCTAAAAATAGCACTGATGCTCTTCAGAGCCCTCCCCACAGCACTGGGCCAGCAAGGAAGAGCTGCAATCATTGGATAAGATTCTCCCCCTCCATCTTGCCCATGCAGCAACCCCTCCCCTCTCTCCCTGCAGGTGGGCTCCCTCCATCATGTTCCTTACTTCCCCCTCCACCCCTGATCCCACTTCTCTATCACCCTCCCTCTCCCACACTCCCACCTGGGGAAGTGAAGACAAAACAGCTGAAGGGAAAGAGATTTGGGAGGGCTTAGTCTGTGTAAGAAAGATAGAAGTGAGAGGAGAGAATAAGGGGCATTTGTGGGAGCACACAAGGGTGTACTTGAATATAGGTGTATGAGAGAACAAGGGTGGATATGAGAGGCAACACAGAGGTGTGTGGCACAGAGAGAACCTCTCTCTGTGAGAGACGTGTGAGAGAATATAGGGGTGTCTGAAAGAAAAAGCTATCAGTGTGTAAGATAAAGAGAGAACATGGAGGTGTCAGAGAGTAAGAATGTGAGGTAAGAGAGAACATGGAGGTATTTGTGAGAGAATGTGGGTGTATGTGAAACTGAACATGAGTGTGTGAGTGCAAAAGGGTGTGTAAGAGAAAGTAGGTGTTTGTGTGTGAGAGCAGAAATACGTGTAAGTACAGAGGGAGTGTGTGTCTATGTAAGAGAGAGGACAGAGGTAGGAGTGTGTGTGTGTGTGTGTGTGTGTGTGTGTGAGAGAGAGACAGAGAGAGACAGAGAGAGACAGAAATGTATGAGAGTACAAGAGTGTGTAAGAGAGAATAAGGGTTTGTAAGAGAAAAAACATAGGGGTGTGTGTGTGTGGGAGACCAATGGTGTGTGTAAATGAGAAAAAATAGGGATATGTGTGTGGTAGAACATTGGGGGTATGTGAGAGAACCCAACAGTGTGTGAGAGAGAACAATGGATATGTGAGACAGAATGAGGTGGGGTGTAAGAAAGGGAACACCAGAAGATGAGAGAAAGAAGGAGGGGGGGAGAGAGGGAGAGAGAGAGAGAGAGAGAGAGAGAGAGAGAGAGAGAGAGAGAGAGAGAGAGAGGGAGAGAGAGAGAGGGAGAGAGAGAACATGGAATATGAGAGATCCATTCATGCTC